TGTGAACTGCGTCGACTACCCGGCAATCGTCGCTTCAACAAATCGAAAGAACCCCGCTTCAGCTGGCAATCAAAAGAGGTCAACCGAACACAGCATCTCTTTCAGATACCAAAAAGATTGTTCTCTGCGGGGCTTTTCATATTTCGATGATCATCAAATACTAACAATTCCATTTCGGTCGACCAATGAACCCCTGGAACAGACTCCACATGGACGATATACTGACCGGTATTGCTGTAAAATCCCGGAAAAACCGTCTTCATCGGTTGTCTGCCTACTGTAACGATTCGGCTTCGGAAAATGCAAATGTCGAAGCAAAGAAACAGCGTTCACGATAAACGCATTTTCGGCAAGTTTGAAGTGTTTGAACATGGATATTTCATATCTCAAACAAGCTTCGGTCATTCTCGAAAGCCGTGACTTCGTCGCAGCTCCACCGTAACCGTACGATGGCTGGTGAGTTGGCCGGGGTTAATGGGAACAATTTGTTGACTATTAATTCGGGTTTTAAACCGTCGTCTGTTGCAGAAACTGCTATAAGGAGCGACAGGGAACTGATAACCGAAATACTTTCTTATGTCTTTCACCTCACTGGGCGGCTGCTGTCTCTGATGATGACTTCAATCTCTTCTACTCCCTTCAACTGTTGTTAATACGTGCTACGTATCTTTCCGCGGTCTGATCTGAACTCAAGCTTCTGACAATACGGCCTAACGATATCATGGGCGTTTCGCTGGACACCTCTTTGAGTGATTCTCGAACAAATAGAAGCTCTGGAAGACGCATTTCTAATGACATGTATTTAATGATGGATCGACACTATTACGTCTGGATTTGAACGATATACGCTTGATGCTGAATCTGGCGTAACGACTATGATCACGGCAAATATTGAATTTCCCCTTCATTATAAACCGAATATTCCGCCTGCCACAGGCGGACGGCAACTGTCGTTATTTAAAACGTAACGGCAATCTGAATTTTCTGAATCAATGCGGTGATATACGATACACTAAGATATTGCTGATACTGCCCTGGAGATACTATGCCAATTCGACTAAATGAAGCCATCGGTTTAACCAATGACTGTGAAACAGGCGAAAAGAATGGGAAGAACGAAAAATGTTTTTAGTATCGATCATAATTGAATGATGTTAAGGTACCAAATGCCAGGCTCGACCGTTAAGGCATCGATAACTGGCGGCTTATGTTTCAAAATTAATTCACCGATGTCAAAGATGAACATGTTCAACGAATAAACGAAATCAAAATCGTCACCGAAGGATGGCGCAATTTATTGACGGATAACGATATTATGATAACTGGTGATGCCTCTCGCCAAACGACTAATAACTCGTCGATACGGCTTGTACGGCTGGAAAACGACGGTACGTCGAATAATAATGAACAACGAATTATTTTCATTACATGAGCTCCACGCCTTGGTAGCTCGACAACGAGGGCTGATGATATCCATTATCGTAACGTTTGCCGGATCATCGATGAAAACGCTCGATGGACACTCGAAATTTCGCTCTGACGTATTGATCCCCATTCAAACCTGGCCGGATCATCTGGTATTAATCTTTGGTTGATGTTTAATGAAACCATGGATATGGTGAATAATAGATTAACTGATGAACCGGTAACGGTCGATATTGATTTCATCACCGTATTTTAATCATTTGACGTTCAGAATCGCTTGTTAGAAAATAGCATGATCAATAGAGCAACGTGTATCGGTACTAACGATCTTGACATGATACGACCTGGAAACGGACTACGTGTTTGACGTTTTACTTCTTTATATCACGGTACGAACGACCTTCGATTGAGTTGTCGCGACTATGTCGGGATCGTGAGAGTATTTTGTCTGTCGCTGGCATTAGATTAACGGTTTATCCAAGGTTTAATTCCGGTGATCACTTTTGTGGATGTTTATTTCTTGTCGTGATGCATTATATTGACCGGTTGGCTGGAAATAGTAAATAAATTGGCGACTTTTGCATTTCTGGAAATCCCAATTATTTCTGCGGAAATGATATAAACTCATGGACTGGCTGCTCAAATACATCGGACCGAATTCTTTGGACTATTACATTAACATTCACTTGCATGATAAATCATGGCAAATGCCTGAAGACTCATTCGATGAAGGTTGTTTCCAACTCAAAGTGAGGAATCAACCTACTGCTTACAGGCGCTATTCGCTTTCGACGATCGCTGGCTTTCAATGTATATGGTGAACAACGACCTAAAACTCTGGATTCGGTCACGCCACCAAGACGATATTTGGTCTTCCAGAACCTCTTCAATGATCTTTCTATGTTGTGATAATCCACTACCCATCTTTTTGGTGTATAACAAAGGCTTCTGTTCTAACGGTCTAATCCTGCGTTGCTGTTTTCAATCCTTCTTATGAGGAGTTGTACAACAAAACCTTTCTTGTTCGCCTCTTTGATTTGGAATTGAAACCATTTCAACTTTCTTGCTGTATGACTGAATATCTCTTCACTCCTTGACGGCTTTGGTATTACAGTTGACTTCAACTCTGACGAAGTTTAAAGAATCTGAACCGGTTACGATATAAACTGGAATATGATCATTAAAAATCGATATATTTGCTAAAATCCTTCTTTACAGATGTGATATGTGCCTCAATCGTCAGAAGTATCTTCAGAATACTGGATATTTCAACTTCTATGTTGGCAGAGAAACAAACCATGTAACAGCTTTAAATATGATGAACATCCCAAACATCGAAGCAATATAATCTTTATTCGATTCTCTTTCTTTACCTTCGGCTTTATTAAGGTACTACCGTCGAACCGAGTAATCGAATATATAATGATCTTGCTGCTGATGATGGGCATCGATCTTTTGTTGTTACCCGGCTTTGCGTTAACATTCTGAACACAATGATCGAACGCTCGAATCTGTGAACCGCATGCTCTGTTCAAAGGCAACGATTAGAACGTCGTCTGCGAAGATGGACTGCTGAAGTGAGTGTTGATTACGTGCAATAAACTTCCCATTCAGTACGCCAGATCCCGAATTTGAGGAGATAAACAATGGTACACCTATTGGTGAGAATCCTCTCCCTTTGTGATGAAGAACACCACGGTGTCACTGCTGACTGTCTTATTCTCCGCCTGAGATGGATATTTTGTCCGAAACGACAAAATTTGCTGCAAAATGTTGACCAGTGATTTTAAAGAAGACTGAACTTTGGTAAATGGTCATGTTTGTGAAGTAGATGAGACACCAATGCTGTAGTTCGAATTTTCAACTGAGCCGACCAGCCTGTATCGCGTAAAATTGATGCTCCTGAAGAGTACGTGGTCAAAACTTTCAATATTGGAAGCTTTGCCACGATTTTATCATTAGTATGATGTTAACTTCTTATGGCCAGGTATAACTGCAATATATGGCTGAAGAATGATAACAAATCACAGAATCCATGCGAGCAACAAAAGCTATCGAAATCCCCCATGGTCCCCTGGCCAGCTAACTTCGGTTATTGACGTTGCCATAACCATTTTTTATACTGTATTGTTTTCTAGACAAAACGTTGCATTGTACTATTTTGTACATATCTGTGATATTCACAGTTGTTTTACTTGTCGGCAGAGACTTTATAATATGCGTATGCTTCATTTGTATCCAAATGTTCGTCGCGATATGATAGTATTGCCGATGTGGCGTTAAATATTAACTCTCACTCTTTCGAGAATATATGAAGGATGTTATATGAGGAACGTCATGTCGCTACTATGTTTACAGCACAGAGATTGCTTCAAATGTTGTTTCCCGAGCAGGCGCGAAGGCCTGGCTGCCAATGTCGTAACGCGTATGAGCGGGAATATAATATTCACCGAAGTCGTCAGAATGATAAACTTAACTTTCGGGCTGATTTACTGATGCCATAAACAACGAACGCAGCTTCACGAAGCGGCGACGTCGCCAACATTGTTCGACGTCGCGTCATAATAGTTTGACCTGGGGCAACGTAATGAACGATATATTCGCAGACGATGAGCCAATAAAGTACGCGTGATTGACGATGCGCGACTGCACGTGCGACGCTTGTTGATCTGATGAACGCTACTGACACTCTGACAATGGGATCAAATATAAGAAATAACCCGACCTACATCTGTGAACAACTGGCTTTGCTGAAAGTCTATGGCGGGCTGGCGACGACTTATGTACGCCATCTTGTTCGGCGACGTCACGTACGGTGACAGAGCTTTGTCGTCACTACTATTCCAGGGGGCCAGTGCAACTGCTACTGACAGTCAGCTCGAAACCTATAAATGTTGAGCTTTTGATAAACAAAACTTGCGCTTCTTATTGATTTCCTAACGGTAACGTATCTGCGTGTTCAGTGCGCGACGACCGTGTTCGCTGTTTCGCATAACTATCGTCGTCAGCTACATCACGCTGCTTACAGATATTATTAAACTGGAGCAGCACCCATCCTGTGTTATCAGTTCTACGCTTGTTGACGCCTATTTCATTTCTGTTGATCAGATTGACTTCGGAATGAATCACGAAGATGCGTATTGTTTACGACGAAGATGATGTTACACAGGTCGAGATGAAAATAAAAATGAACTTGAGAAGTTTTATTTCGTAACGTTATTGGCACATTCAAATGGTATTACCTATATTAATGAAAAGGAACGAAATCAATATCAATCTTCAATATTGGAGTAATCTTATTAACATAAGACATACCGAATTTTACGCACCATTCAGAAATTGGAACATTGTTCGAGCGCTTTGACAAAGATGGTTCGTCTGATGTCTTCGCTGTCTGTTGCCGTCGTCGAAAAATACGTTAACAACGCGAGGTCAAAACGCTCCACCTGTAAGAACTCAATTTCAGAATATTTCGCTTATTTTGGTTTTATTAATCAGTCGAGATGTTGATACCGCGAATAACAATGTGAGAATAAACCCGTATATAAATCGGCATATGACCATGCGGAAGGAAAATGATTGAGACAATCAGACTTTTGTACCTGTTGGTGTTGTTTTCGTTGGTTTCAGGTAGGCGTTTTTACATGCTGTCGTATTTACTGACAGTCCGTCAAGCTAACTTTTGGACCATGTGTTTTTGCAAGCTACCTTTAAACAACAGAAGGTATCCAACTTCAATTGGCATAGTTAATAATGATATCTCACGACCTAATTGCGTGTTGAATTTGGTGGAATTTTATGGCCCGTTGGAATTTAGATTCCGTGTGAATGAATGATTCACGAACTGAAACCTTCATATGTGGAAGCACGTTTGTAAAATGAAATATTTTCCCAGGTTTCAATTACTGGAAACTTCTGAACCCAACTGAACATTGTTTGTCTGGATTGTATCTACCACAAATAGTGATCTACCTTCGCCAGTTATTGGCGATTTATAGTCCATTTTTATACTGTATTGTTTCTCTCCTATAGTTATAACGTTTTAGACTTAATTACTAGTTTTACATCCATATCTGTGATATTCTAGTTGTTTTACTGTCCTTCGTCTGCAGGTAATTTTATAATATACAAATATTTCATTTCAATATCACATGTTCTCGTCACGATATGGCTGGAAATTTTTGCCGATGTGACGTTAAATATTAACTCACTCACTTCACTACCACAAATAGTCGCAAAGGCTGCTGATGAGCCATTAAGCAATAACCACTCACTCGCCCACTTGATGGTGTCTCCACGACATCCGGCACAATTGCAAACTATGATTCCAGTTTGCAAATCTGTCGAACTTAATTCATCTATTTATCTAATTCATCTATTTCGTTCTGTGAAAGCTTATCTGTTAATGTAAACCTATATTTTTCGGTTATAAACGAAGACAGTTTATGCTTATGGAGAACAGTTGAACTCTTGCTTCATTATACATACCAGTTCATACGTGTTTAGTGATCTCATTGAATTCCAGGTAATGATGGGACGTTGAATGTGACCGCTCTCTACCGGCAAGTCAACTGCACTGATCCACAGTCTATGCTCGTAGCTTCACAGAAGTGTCTTGATGCGTACAATATCCCCCTCAAAGTGGCTTCCATTCAGGAACTTGTCAACTCGTCAGATGCTTCGTATATATCGAATGTAATAACCCCGGCATATTTAGCTGATATGTGTAGGTAAGTATGGACCTGACCTACAATACTACTTATAATCATAACAAAATGTATTCTTGTCCTACCAGTGACGGTGGATAGAGTTTGATAAGGATAAAGAAGGAAAAACGATACATTTAATATTTGAAATGCTACTATAGACTCTAATTGTAACGATGACTTGCTCTCAGTGAGTGCTTCGGAATCGATGGCATTCCACTTCATTCTGTATCTGACTGGTATTTCCGCCCCTGTATGGTGTAGACGTGCATGAACGAGCTCTGAGAAGATAACGAAAGAAATCTGTTAACATCGGCGATAGAACCAATCGGAATATACAAAAAGTGTCAAATAATCAATGATATAAGCCTCTTTACCGTTCTAACTGACATTTTGTGACACTTTATCCATTAAAACTTCCGTTGTGTACCGTTATGTGAATCTCACCAGTGAAACTGTGTGACACCCTCATGGAGGCCAGTGGATACACTGACGCCGTCCTAACTCAACAGCACAGCTGTAAGTGCTCCTTTATCTAAAAGACATAAAACAGACAATAATGGTACAGGATGCATGGAGAAAACTTCAAACTCCGACCAGGTAAGTAATGTTGAAATTCTAAAGGATATAAAAGATATGAAAGAAGAAATGAAGAAAACTTTGCTGGTCAGTTAGTTGATCTTGAACTACGGGTGACTCGAAATTTAACACAGTCATTGAAAGAAGAACCTTCGAGACTGAAAGAAGACCTAGAAACCCAAACTGATTCACTAAAAGTAAAATTTCAGAGGCTGAGCACGGATTATTTGTTGAACGAGAGAAGTACAGAGAAGCTGTCGGTCAGTTATCAGACTGCATGACAAAACTTGAGAAACTGTCGACTGACATGGTTAAATCCGTGGAGACAATGTGAAATGTGGTGTGGTCATGTACAATCTCCCCGTATCCAAACGGGAACGAGACGATGAGAATGTGCTCTGCAACCGTGTAAACCAAGTCCTCAGAGACGGCCTCAAGTTGAGCGACGTACGCGCTGTCCATGCGGTAAGGAAAACCCGTCAAGATAACAAACCAGAACCAGTCATGATAACGCTAGAGACGGTAGAACAAAAGAAGAAACTGCTATCTAACAAAGGAACCTGAAACAAAGTAAAAGCTCTCCAATGTTTATATCGACGCCACGCTGGCTCAACAAGAACTCGCAGCAAGAGCCAACATGCAGACGATTCTCAATGAGCTTGGGAAATCCCAAGCTTTCAAATTCCATGAAAACCGAATGGTACCAGCAAAACCTAAAGACTAGGACATTTTGCGGCTGGGATTCTGGAATGTTGGCGGTTGGGCTCAGAGGGACAGAGATAACAGCGAATTCAGAGAAACTGTTTTATTGAATCTGAATTATGATGTTGTAGGTGTATGTGAGACGTTCCTACAGAGGAACTCGTCATTGTCTCTCCCTGGTTACAGATGGTTTGGTAGTAACCGACGTAAGATACATCACCTAGCTAAACGAGGTTCTGGAGGTGTAGGAGCCTTCTTAAAGATACATTTCTCCGAGATTTTAACATTGTTCTTTTAGATAACGATGACGACGATCAGCTATGGTCTAAGTTATCATCAAAGTGCGGAATGATTTTAGTATTGTGTTGTGTGTTTGCTACCTGCCCCCTGCTTATTCATCACGTATATACGATGAAGAATTTTTTTTTCAACGTGTTTTAGAGAATTTATACACATACCAAATCGATGGTGTGTTGTGCATATGTGGTGATCTAAATGCGCGCGTTGGAGACGAGTGTGACATTTTTCAAGGTGTGGAGAAGATACCCGACAGAGAGGTGATTGACCAGACAGTTAATGCACACGGAGGACTATGTATCGACTTTCTGATTGAAGGTAATATGTGCATGTTGAATGGACGCCTGGGTTCTCAAGACTTTACTTTCATTAAGAATGGCGCCTTGGTAGTAGATTACGTGATAACGGCATATGAGCATATTAATTATTTTAAAACCTTTAATGTGATTACCATGTCCTCAGTCATCAACGGTATTATTATGCCAAGATGTGTTCCCGACCACTCTATCTTATGTTCGGAACTGTGGGTAAATATGTGAATAATGATGATGATATAGGTAGTGGCAGTGAGTGCGACAGCGGTAGATTTGAGTGTAAACGATATGTTGGTAGTAAGGTTACAGCATCTTTTCTTTAGGGTGATGAGGTTATTATTAAACTTGAATCACAACTTAACGCTCAGCATGATGTTAAAGCAGTTTATTCAGAATTTCTAAGCTTTATATACACAGAATTAGACAAAGTTGCAGTAGGTAAGCCTAAGAGTAATAATTCACGCAATTGTAAATCCATGTATAAGCCTAATTGGTCTTTAGAACTACAACTTCAATGGGATGAGGTCAAGGTCTCAGAAAGGGCGTGGCTGGGCTGCAAACCTTCTGTTAAGAGGAAAGGTCTTAAACATGTATTTGTATCTGAAAGGAAAATCGTTGATAAGCAGTTAAGAAGGGAATATAAGGTCTCAGAAAGGGCGTGGCTGGGCTGCAAACCTTCTGTTAAGAGGAAAGGTCTTAAACATGTATTTGTATCTGAAAGGAAATCTTTGATAAGCAGTTAAGAAGGGCTAAGGTTCTGTTTTAGCTAGAGGAACAACAACGGTTGCTAGATAAACATGCAGATAGGGACTCTCGAATTTTCTGGAGGACTTTTGGTAGAATAGGCATTTCTAGTGATAGACTTAATAGTGAGTGAGTGAGTTTAGTTTTACGCCGCACTCAGCAATATTCCAGCTACATGGCGGCGGTTTGTAAGTAATCGTGTCTGGACCTGACAATCCAGTGATCAACAGCATGAACATCGATCTGCGCAATTGGGAACCAATGACATGTGTCAACCAAGTCAGCGAGCCTGACCACCCTATCCTGTTAGTCGCCTTTTACGACAAGCATGGATTTCTGAAGGTTCATTCTAACCCGCACCTTCACGGGTAGACTTAATAGTATCCCTTGGCAGGTAGTGAGTGATGGCGAGGTGTACACGGATAGAGCAACTGTTCTTGGTAGATGGCAGGATGACTTTTCTCTTCTTTTCTCAGATGCTGATTATTTCTTCTTTTAACAACGCTCACCTACAACATGTCAACAGTGAAATAGACAAGGGTCATGTGACCCGCCCACACGTTGACACTAGTGACCTGGATTTGCCCATTCTCCTCAGTGAGGTGGAACATGCGGTTGCACGTGCTAGGCGTGGAAAGGCAGCAGGTCCAGACTGTTTACCAGCAGAGGCATTAAAAAAATAAATCATGTATTAAAATCCTGCATAAAATTTTAGTTTTTTGTTTCGAGTTTAACACTGTCCCCGACATTTGGCGTCATAGCTTTATTAGTCCAATCAAGAAACCTGATTCTGATCCACGTGATCCACTTGGATACCGGGGCATTTCCTTGTTGTCTGTCCCATGTAAGATCTATTCGGACATTCTGAACGTTAGACTTGTTAGTTGGTTGGAAAGGAATAGTTTCTTAATGGAAGAACAAAATGGCTTCCGTTCGGGTCGAGGGACGCAAGAACATATCTACAGCTTGTATTCAGTCCTTAAAAATAGGAATAGTAATAAGCAGTCTACCTTCGTTTATTTTATTGATGCCATGAAGGCCTTTGATAAAGTTAACAGGCAATGTTTATGGTTTAAACTACTTCATTTGGGAAGTAATGGGAAGTTTCTACATGCAGTTCAGGCTATGTATGATAACACTTCTGGAAGTGTTCTAGTTAATAACGAATACACACATGCTTTTGAAATTCAATCTGGAGTCCGCCAAGGGTGCACATATCTCCGACGTTATTCTCAGTGTATATTAACGATCTTGCTGCTGAAATTAAAAGCTTAGGATGTGGTATTGACATCGATGGAGTAATGCTGAGTCTTCTCCTTTATGCTGACGATATTGCTTTGATGGCCCCGGATGAGTTGTCACTACAGAGAATGTTAGATGTTGTGTCTGATTGGTGCTCATGGTGGCGTATTATGGTACATATTCAGAAAACTAAAGTTGTTCACTATCGTCCCTCTTCTATTGCCAGGTCAAGTTTTACATTCAATATTGGTTTTAATGTTTTGGAATATAACTCTGCCTATAAGTATCTTGGAATTTGGCTACAGGAAAATCTCGATTTAAACTTTACAGCTAAAGAGATAGCAAAATCGGCCAGTCATGCCCTTGGAGTAATTATTTGCAAATTTAGGTCAGTAGGTGGCATGACTTACAATGTTTATAATACGCTGTATAATAATTTAGTTCAGCCTATATTGACCTATGGCGCTGCCATATGGGTCACAAAACAGTTTAGTTGCATTAACGCAGTTCAAAACCATGCCTGCAGATTTTTCTTGGGAGTCGGTTGTAAAACACCTAATTTAGTAGTCAGAGGAGAGATGGGGTGGAGCAGTCCTTTCTGTAAGCAAAAAATGGAAATACTTAGGTGTTGGCGTAAACTGAAGTGTATGGCAGACTCTAGATTGTCAAGTGTCATTATGCAATGGTCTCGACAGCTCTTGGAGTAATTCTGTCTATGGCACACTTTCTAAATTACAGCATCCAGTTCATGACATCTATAACATGACAGGGCTTGATGTTAAATTATCTTGTGAGTGGATTCAATCTGTTGACGAACAAGAATGGTTTAGAAAATTATGGAATGATCGTGGACAGTTGAATGGAAATAAACTACGAACGTATAGACTTTTAAAAAGTTCTCTAGTGGCTGAACCGTACGTTACACAATGAATTCCCAGATCCCACCTGACGATGACCTCATCAGCGGCGCATGGCTTGGGTCACCATGTAAGCCGATACACAGTAGCTAGACGACTGTTGACGAAAGGTCGCTCTGACCCTAAATGGGATGACCTGAGATCATTGTTGAGCGGTAGAAAGAAGTGAGATGTGATGTTAAGATTGTAATATTGCTCAATGTTAAAAAGTAGTATTGCAAAGTTATCCTCCTCGACCAACTGCATGGTTGTGTTGGGGCTGTGTTTCTGGAATGCTGCATTATCATATAGAGTATTTCATAACGTTGTTGCAAAACAACCTTGTCCTTGGTACAGCACTGTCATTTAACAAACCTTGTTCTAGGAATCCTGACACTTACCAGAAAGCGCGAGTGTGTGTGAACAACATACTCTCTAAATGTATTAACCAGACCCAGATGCTACCTTCAGAGCTGAATAAGAAGTGGCAAGACAATCTCTGCGCCAACTTGGGCAGTGAGTATAGAGTATATATTTATGTACCACTTCGACGGATTTAATTTAAATAATTTTTTCCGCATGCTTAATTATAAATATTGGTTTCATTTCCAATTGGAACAGAATATAGAAAATTACACGAGGGAATATCACAGGTGTCACAAAGCATCGACAGTTCAAGGAAGTAAGACAATCAAGTAGGCAATAGACCCATGGACCATGAACCAGATCGAGTATATAAAAACGACGTTAAATGAAACATCTTAGTGAATTATTTATGAAAAATGTGGATGTAAGATTTCTATTTGGTACGTTTTCGTAATTTGAACAATCAAAATTAGGAATTGTACTTTCCTATCAGCAGCTACAAGACCAAAGAAATTCATTAATGTCGCCTTATTAGAGATGTCGATGTTATATACTGTAAATATACGCATATATCTCAGAAAATATATATCGCTTTTATAGAAGTCACCGAACCCATATAGGATAAGTTTCAATGCCCTTTCCATAATCTTACGAAATCTCAAGAGTATACTTTAGCACTTGTTTCAAGACTGGATATTCTTTTGCACTGACGTTTTCTATTTATGGATCACTGTCAAGCATGTCGACCACAGTGACCAGCGAAACGTGAACGTATACTGTTCCACCAGTGGAACAATCATATGCAAGGGCATTTTCACGACGAAAAAATACAGGCACATATCTTGAAGTAAAATAGCGGATATACACAAAAGCGTGAACATTGCTGGACATGCACAGAAAGTTGACTTCTGGAGTAAGTCTTCTAGATAAGAGGTTACAAGATATACTAACCCAAAAAAGAAATGCATAGGCCAGAAATCTGTTGCGAAAATGTTGTATTTTAAAACATGTATAACTCGTCCACAAATAGTCTTTAGAGCATGAATGTTTACATCAGTTCAGAAGAAGGAATTGTCTATACAACCAAGTGGATAATTTTATATAACGGAGAGGTTGAGCACGATGGTGACGACGTAGCACGGTCCCGACGTCGGGTCTCCAGGCTTTCAGTCCAATCTCTCTCAACCTGTTCTGTACCGTTTGACCGGATATCCACCGAAATCCAGGCACCCTGGTTGCTGTGGTTTCACCCGTGGCAGTACGATCACGCAAATGTAGTACCCGGATGTACCGATCTTGGGCTGCACTGGTGACTCGATGTCTGCCTGTACGGAGTCATTTGTTATACCTGTTTGGTTGTAACGAGCTGCAAGCCGTGATATCGTGCTCTGACTAACATTCAGACGCCTGGCAACAGAAGATTGGTGATCTCCAGCGTGCATTCTTTCAATGGTGATGTTCCGTGTCGCAGCGTCAAGACGTGGCCTAGTGATTTGACCTTGAAACTCCTTCAAAACGAATGCCGATTTCCGAAGTAATCTGGATTTTTATAGCGAGACAGTGCATGCTCTTTGCTGTTGCATTGTGGATATGCGTTTTTAATCATTGTAAGAAATCTCATCAAAATCAACATTTTCAGGTAAAGTCAATTTTTATCATGTGCAATTATGGAAAATCATATTATCAACACTTTCGTTACATGTTTTGACGATTGTTTGAACACAATAGGTAATTGATAGATTTAAAAAAATACAAAACGTCTATGCGTTTCTTTTTTGGGGATAGTATGTAACTTCAGTCCTAAATACAGAACCATTTGGCTTCTGCCTATTATGCTCAGATAAATGGTACTTTTCACTACAGTCACTGAAATAATACATTTTTGGCACTGCCCTTGTAACCCTTGGTTGTCATGACAGGCGTACTGCTCTGCGGCGTCAGGCACAAACTACGTTTTAGACAAACGTTGTAAATGGTTCTTGCTAACGGTAGGGCAGGACACTTTTACTGTTTTCGCGAACACCTGGTGTAATCACTAATTTTAAATGATCCGTTCATTTAATTTTCATAGCTATTGTTCCCTTTACTCCAAAGGGAATTTTTTGCTGTTCAGTATTTAACTAAGCATTTGTTTCTGAAGAATTCAACATAACCTGCATGTTTGAAATGACGTCCAAACTAGCGGATTGCAGCTCTACCTTCAGCTACTTAACAACCAGCGATTATATTAACCTCAACATTACAGATATTGACCACAAGACAACTTGTATGTGAGTATTCCTGTTATAAAATATCTGTTCTTTAAATTATACAACTTGTGTGTATATGTGTCTCAAATAGATAAAAGGGTTTGGTGTTGAAAAACATTACTGCAATTCACATTGCCATAAACCTGATTAAATGACTGTTGGTTGTTTGCATCCTTTTCTCCACAACAGTGTTATATGTTATTTAGAATGGCATACTTATATTTATGAACAGGTTCTTAAGATATTTACCATTCCCAAGTATTCCTGGCATAAGGAATACGACCATCATATTCAGTAATGTCGTAATTAGAACATCATCCGTAATTAGTTATGACATGCATTTTTTCGGCCATCATCCACATACAACAGAGTTATAATACCTGAACATCAAATTGGAATCTTAATGTGAATAAAAGGTTGATTACCTATTGCCACTATATATGTGTGTATTAATGTCAGGTCAGAAAAGCTGTCATCAGTCTGTGGCAACAAGTACCTCTCAACCTGTGGCGAGGCCACGCGCCATATGTACGAAATGGTCTCTCCAAACAACACAGAATGTACGTCAGTTTCTATTGGCTTATTACTTTACTCTAACTCTGTTTTATATTGAGACATTTGTAAACGGTGAATACAGTAACAGGTTCACACAGTCATTATCTTCAGCCACGATCTGACACCACCTACATCCACAGTATCTGTCATACTCATAAGGTGTGCTACTGCCAGAACATTATGCATGCACACATTTCTCAAAACCTAAAACCAATGCATATATCTCTTAAGCAATGTTTGGTTGTAAAACATGTTATTTTGGTATTGCATTAGCTTTATTTCGTTATCGTTTTACACTAAACAATATTCTAAAATACCCGTTAATTCTGGGGTTAGAATTGATCTTCAGTAATCCATACCTGTCACAAGAACCGATAATAATGTAAATAGATCTATAGGCGTGCACCATTGTATTTCAGATTTCAGGTTCCTACAACTTTATCATTTATGTGTTGACTTTCGTTAGGCCTAACACCCAACAGCTTAGACACACCCACCGTGGACTGTTCCACCACTCAAAACATACGAAGGAGCTACCATCAATGCTTAATCTACAACAAGGTACTGCTCCAGTTCCCGGAAAACCTAACCAGTGAAGACACTAGCCAGCACATTATGAACGCTATGACGATGGATGATAATCTGTGCAGGTATATACAGTTTTAGTAATCCCCTACTGTCACCTCGTGGGAGAGCGGAAGGTCGCGGGTTCGATCCCCGACCGCGTCATACCAAAAGACGTTGAAATATGGTACTTGTTGGTCCCTGCCTGGCGCTCGGCATTAATGGGTACAACAAGGACTGGTCGGCTCGGAGTCAGTATAATGTGTCAGAGTGGGGTATTCATGCTTCACTGCGGCATGGTATCTCAGTGGGCTAGCGCTATAAAACCAGCTTAATTCTGGGCTAGTACAAGCAGCCGCACATATACATACACACGCATGCACGTCGTCATATGAGCGAAATATTCTCAAGCACGACGTTACACCCAATTTCACGTCACCTGTCACCTCGTGACCCTATAGTGACAAACGTCCTGTATCATAAACCCTGGTAATTGTAAATGTGCAATCTGAATAATGGAAGTCACAAAATCCTTTCCTTAGTCATAAGAAATCTCGACATTTTCTGACATTACATGATATTGCAAGGTTGTCCCCCTGGCGTCTGTTGACAGTTTCATCATTATCTATTACACTTTGATGACATTGCTTCAGTCCCTACCAGATAGTGCACCATGATTGTTGTTTGCCAGCTGGTAAATGAGGCTAATTTCCAAATTAGCCATTACGCTAGTTATTAATTTCACCCAGAGAGACAAACATATATTTGTGTCTTTTCTCAACCAGTGACACCAATTGTCAACTGTTTGTGATCACAATGCTTCATACTTCTTTCAACAAATGTACAAACGTTTTATGCTTTTTATAACCCTGTGAGTCCCCATACTTTCATTTTCAACATTCAGTATTTCTCTGTGTGTATAACTAATGCAAGCATTTTAACAATTCCAGAGGTTATGTCACGAATAAAGCATGTGAACAACCTTCTAATGACACAACCAGCTATGAGTATGTTTACACTAGCTGCACGTGACTGATATCCAATGATTTTCGAACATTGCTCATTAAATAAAACATTAACTACAATGAAAATTATTTTAAAAGAGCTCCTCTCAAAATGAGGGAAAGCATGACATCATAGTGAGTGTTACATACATATATATATAATATATATTTATCACAATATGAACACATTGTCGAACAGACGTAACCTTCTATAACATACAGTAATCTGAAGGCCTACCAGCAGGCAGTGAACTGTACTCTGCAGGTACAGAAGCAATGCAGTGATGACGTGATGAAGCCCACAGTAGCCGACTCCCAGACAGTGCAGGACGGCTTTGCTAAACTCTGTGGTCATATTGGGGGTGAGTAGTTCAGCATGAGTTCGTTGTCTACACGTGTATGTCTTTGTTGAGGAAGTACTGAGACACAGGCGAGATATAAGGTATGTATATGGGGTGCATGTCCTTGGTAGTTTAAACGACCAGATTTAGACCTAAAAAAGGAAAACTACTAACGTCTATATTATGTATTCTAAGGAATTTTTGGCTTCTGCTTTTAGACTGATGCAATGAATCATTTATAGTATATTCTCTTATTAGATTTCGACACCAAATGCGTTCAGAATGCACCCAAAGGAACTTGCCGCAGTAGACGCCCCGCTTTGGATTCGAAACATCTGTGCGCGTAAGTCGACTTTTTGTGTTCCAAGACGGTCGAGGTATTTACGGCTGTTGCTTTTTGTCAAATGGATAATGTATTGAGGTTGATAACAGGTAAATGAGTTACTAACATACACATAAGAGAGTTGCATTGAATGTACTAGACACAATCTTATTCACAACCAAGTAATGAGGGGACTTGATATTCCGAAAGGATATCACAGGATGATAGAAGGAAAGTTGATCAGGCTCAAATCAGAAAAAAAGTCCCACTGTGGCACACCTCACAAACGCGTGCAAAGGCATCTCAAGTGTCCGCCTGTTGTTTTAAAAATATCCCTAACATATCTCATTTTTGAAAGCTTTACTGAGGCCGCGAATATTCTAACCACGTGGAAACAATATATGAGGCTTTGGGAAATGTTCACGCAGAGGAGATAGACCGCTCCTGTGAAACGTGTTCTGGCATTGGCGCAAGATGTGCGTTTTCATCTCCGAACATCTGGTGTCATCTCTGATTCTATATAATCATTTCAAATCACTTTTATGTCACTACTCAAGACAGACTGGTTATTGTCTGAAGATGGGTTCCCCAAGCATTTATTGATTTCAAGAGTTTTCATGAAAATGCTCTGATTTATTATTGTCACTCAGAATTGAATGTTGTAGTTCTATAAGTGTGTATGCTTGTTTTCAGCGCCACTAGTGCCACCCAGAACTGTCTGGTGTTAGCGGTGAGCAGCTGCAGCAAGACGACCGTCAGCATGTTCAAGGACGTCCTACTTAGCCAATCCCCGTCTATGTGTCTAAAACAGGCCACCGGGTTACCATTGATTGGCTAATCTACATCGTCACACAGTCGCGATTGTATTGCTGTTGAGTGACAATAAATACATCCAAGTAAACACATGAAATGTATGTCAGGGTTGTGTTCCATTCTTTCCTGGTTTGTATAGTTATTTTAAAATGTTACTCTATGTTTATCTGGCAGTGTATTTAGAAAGAGATAGAAGCGACAAAACCCTTTCCACATTCATAAGAAATGTCTGCCAAAAGCAGTGTCCATTGTACAGTTGTGACTATATCATGAGCAGATATTGTTTTCAACAGTTTACAGCTGTATGGTGTTGTTTGTATGCAAATCTGGTCTGAGCCAGACAATCCAGGATACGATGACAGGGCATGTGTGAATGAATGACTATGAAATAGTGATGATACCTGGTGTTCGCGAAAGGGAGAGCCTATCCTGCCCCACAGGGTGGCACCCGTCATATACATATGACGAGTCTGGATATTTGTTCACCTGAAATATTTCGGGAACGTATAGGGAATTGTATCGGATGGGGGTGACTATTGGGGTCTAAGGAACTATTGCGATCCCGATAGACTATTGCAAGTTACTATTGCGATATCGATAGACTATTGCAAGTTACTATTGTGATCCCGATAGACTATTGCAAGTTACTATTGCGATAGCGATAGACTATTACAAGTTACTATTGCGATATCGATAGACTATTGCATGTTACTATTGCGATCCCGATAGACTATTGCAAGCTACTATTGCGATAACTATGGCGATAGTTCAGACAAAATTCAAATTTCAGATATATTGCCATTTTCTACCAACTTCTTTTACATTAAACTACTTAAACCATAAAATGTGTTCAGTAGTTTATTCCTAATAATGTTCAGGTCAGTACCTGTCAAGCTGCCATGATGACTTCTTAGTGAACATAATTTAGTATTAAAACAATTCGACAACAAGCTAACGCTTTCACACATGATTTGATACTATTTATTACAAAACTGTGGTTTGCAGACTCTTTGATCCCAACAACATTGTATGTAAAATACCATACAAATTAAACAATAAATACTGGCTCTGTGGGTCTGTCACATTTGTGACAAATGGTCACCTTTCAGTTTCAACAGAAAACAGTTACTGTGTGTAAAGGTTGAAAATAAAACAGTTCACAGGTAGATATTTTTTTAGTTTTAACAACATAAAGATATATCCAATGCACTGAACAGTCAACAGACACACTAGATTTAAAAAGGAAAAACTCTTTTGTCACTATGAAAGTATCACGTAATCTCACAAATACACCTGTCATCAGATAACTCGGTGACTCAAGTTGAAATATAGGTTAACATAATTGGCAAATGGCAATATTTCACAATAACTCTCATTTTACTCAAATAGTGTGATGAAGGCATATGATAATTTTTCCAACTTTCCAATTCTTCTTTAGAAACAAGAGTCTGTCCACATGTGCAGATTTAATGATGTCTGTGGAAAAGACCCTCTCAGAGGGCACAGGGCAAGACTGAATCGGAGAATGTGTAACGTGGTTCCAAAACACTCAACATGTTTCTAAACCAATCATTTTGGACAACACTGGATGGTCGCAAATCTTTCACAATAAGTTCAAAAATGGCTGCCGAAATGTCTCTTGCTCCTTTTAAAGACGAAAGTAGAGTAGTGTTGTCATTTATCACTGTCAGGGTTGTTTGTCTCTTAGGCCTACCCTTGGTTGGGGCAAGCGCATCAAGACCGTGCCTCCGACGCACATGATCAGTCAAATTTGTTGCATTTCCACAATACTTCAATATCAGCTTACACTTCCAACATGCAACTCGCTTCTTGTCCACTTTATCTGTTTTTACCCAAAGTGTTCCCATACAGCTGCAGCTGTATTATTTACAATTTCAAATTTCGCAAAATCCCCGCTGTCCGCTTGAGCTGCCATTTTGGTAAGGGGAGGGGGAGGGAGGGGGTTAACTCTTTCACTGCAAAATGCTGTCGCTTACAGCAAATAGAGATTAATCTGAATCGGAGGTAGGACTGTAGAATAGAACATGTTTTCAAGTTACCGTTATTTATAAAACAAATTGAAGCGATAGTATCGATAGTTGATGCAACTATCAGTGTATTGGATCGTCATTTGATACACCTATCGATAAAGTTTCACAATGGCAATCAATCGATAGTTCGATGCATCGTTACACCCCCAGTATCGGACATCATTTTTTACGCTGATGTATGAAGTGAGCCTACATGTGTGGATGCCAGGTGCGTCTCCTTGATCCCTCGCCAAGTTTCAGTAATGGGAATGCATTACGCACCAAATTTAGAGCATTTGTTTCAAATGACACAAATGATAGAACATCATAACGTTTTGATCCGGACCTCATTCACCTGTAAATATCGTCTTTGGAAAAACAACTGCTACCAACGTCAACACCGTGGAAATATAGTCTTTACTTGTGACTAGACCATCTGGAAATGTGTAAGTTCGGAAAACTCCACAGGGACGATGGCGTCCAGCTAACGTTGATGTAATCGAGACTACTGAGGCGGAACCTAACTGTGGTGTTCGTACCTTAATGTTCAGAAGGTGGGACAATGTTGCGTATCCGTGAAACAAGTTATCGATGAAACTGTAGCTGTTCAATACCACTTAATCTTCCGACAGGCAGTTGGTAGTGTTAGGGAGTGTTGACTGAAACACTGATTGCAATTATACAAAGGGCAATGAGGCAAGCTACATATAGTTATAATTGGCTATTAAACTAATTAGCCCGAGTCAAGTCAGACTTAATACTGGGCTTTACTTACAGCAATATGGGTGTTTAAAATACTCTGATTTATGAATCAGGCAAGGCTTACCGTCTTAAGATATGTGCGTGCGTGCTTGCGCGCGTGCGTGTGTGTATGTGTGATGGAAATATATTCAAAGATAAGTCAACATAGAGCCAGAATAGGTAACCTAGAATTTTTTTTCCGCATGTATCATGAGAAATATTTTCAACACTATTGAGCTATACCGTTATCTGTTATGATTTTGTGTAATCAGCCAGATGTTACAATCTGCACGGATAACAATGTGGGAGTGCATCAAGCCCAGTATATAATTCAGCATTGTAATTATGCAGAGGAAAGTGAATGTTTGCCAAGAAACGGTTGGAACGATGGGACTCTTGTATCTGTTCGCGTTGTTGTTTTTTATTTCAGGTAAGTATTTCTATGTGCTGCCGTCACTTATATATCCGTCTCTTGAAATGTAAAATTCATCTGACTTGGGTTCATCAACTATCCCGAATCTAACTTTTCCATATGCAACCTACCGAGTACTAGGGCTACTTCTACGGAAGTTGGTGGGCGAGTTTAAAAAAAAAACATATTTCCCATCTCGGGTTATACTGCAAAAGTGGAATCCAAATAAACATTATGTTTGCATTGATGGTGTGTATTGCACACATTAAGCCATAAACACTCACTGACTCACTCACTGACTCACTGACTCACTCACTCACTCACTCAGTTGATGATGTCTCCACGACTTCCGGTGCAAAGAGAAACTGTGATTCCAATTTGCAAATCGCTCAAGAACTAATATACCTATTTCAATCTGTGAAAGTTTTTTGTTTAAGTAAGTAAGCCTACTTTTCGGTTATACACGAAGACAAATTATAAGACTTCATCATAATACATACCAGTACATCAGTACATACGTCTTTAGATTACTCATTGAAATTATTCCAGGTAATGATGGGACGTTGGATATGACTGCCCTCTCACAGCAAGTCAACTGAACTGATCCACAGTCTATACTCGTATCTGGACAGAAGTGTTTTGATGAGTACAATATCCCTCTCAAATTGCCTTCCATTGCCAACTTTTCCGTTTGGCCTAAACTGATAACCCCGGCATATTTAGCCGATATGTGCAGGTTAGTATGTACTTTACTTACAATAGTAGTTTTCCAGATAAAATAGATAAACGATGAAAACAATTGTAACGATGACTTGATTGCAGCGAGTGCTTTCCAATCGACAGTTTTCCACTCCTATCTGTATCACAAGACTGACCTTTTCAGTCTGCTGACGGATGTTTTTCATGCATACATCCGCATCCAACAATGCATGGACGGATTTTTACCTTTTAGAATTTTCGAATCGAGAACTTTGTCAAAGCAAGGTGTGTTCTGGAATGGAAATCGCCAGTTTGAAACTATTTCTGTTTGTCAAAAAAGTTGGTTTTGGATGATTCACTAATGTCAATTTCTAGTTAGTTAGTTCAGTCTTTTGTAGATCACCGTTTGGGGGAAGGTCGTTCTGACCCTAAATGGGATATCCTCGGATCATTATTTAGCGGTCGCAAGAAGTGAGATATTATATGGAGATTGAAATACTGCTTAGTGTTAAAAAGTAGTATTGGGCAGTTATCCTCCTCGAACAACACTATGTGTTGTGTCTCTGGAATTCCACATCATCATAAATCCTATAATAACTCCTCCTCAGTTACTAAATTTACACATCTATTAAACACAACTGGCATAGTCCATCTCCTCTGTGATACTGTTATAAACATGTATAAACGACGTCAATCTTTATCTTAAATGTTATACACTACTTGTATCTTAAGTTTTAAATGTATTAATATCCTACTCTTTCATTCATTAACACTAGATGAATGCAACACATGGTGTATGAATGTTAGGCATTGTAACAGCAGTACGAATGTACGTAACTATATTGTACTTCATTGTATTGTTTGTATTGTGTTAATGATATTGTGTGTAGGGTATCTGTATACTGCATACTACTATATGTTAGTATTGAATGTATGATTATAATACATGTATATTTATGTGTGTGTATGTATGTATATATGTGTGTATGTATGTATGTGTGTGCGTGCGTGCGTGCGTGCGTATATTGGGTGTGTGTGTGCATGCATGCGTGTATGTGTGTGGATGTGTGTATACGTGTATTAGGTCTGTATGTATGTGTGTATGTATGTATGTATGCGTGTATGCGTATATTATGTGCGGTTGTATGCTGTTTTGCATATGTGATTATTTGTTTGTTTGTATGTATGTTTGCTGTAGATATGTTATGTATGTATGCATACCTGTACGTGTTAACTTTAAATGTATACCATTATACGGGTGCTGATATTTGTTGGTTCACAATGTTTTTATTGATACGTTTGTCATTTTTTACCAAAGTCACCGAAGGAATACATATCTGGTACTATTATTGTAAGCCTTGGTTTGTGTATTCACTTGCACCGATATTCTGTATTCAACTAAACATTACCTCTTTGTTCCTGAAGAATTCAACATAACCTGCATGTTCGAAATGGCGTCTAAAATTGGGGACTGCAGCTCTACCTACAACTACTTGACTACCAGCGATTTGATTAAACTCAAGTTTACAGAGTTTGACCACAAGGCAACTTGCATGTGAGTATTCCTGATTTAAAATCCTTTGAACTCGTGTGCGTGCGTAGATGTGTCTTATGACGAACGATGTCTTTAAAGGGTTCGGTCTTGAAAAGCGTTTCTGCAATTCACATCAACCATATTGTCGTTTTGTTGGGTCGTTTTCATCCTTTTCCCCACACAAACTCATGTATTATTTAGAATGGCATGCAAAAATCTATGAACACGTTCTTAAGATATTACCTTTCCCAAATATTCCTGGCGTAAGAAATATGACTTTCTTTTCTTCACCATCAACATATAACATGAGTTATAAAAGCTGAGCATGTTAGTGTGCATAAAAGGTTACTTCCATCTACGCTATATATGTTCGTATTAATGTCAGGACAGAAAAGTTGTCATCGATCTGTGTCCAGAAGTACATGCCAGCTTGTGGCCAGGTCGCACTCCACATCTACAATGGATACCAGCCAAACAACACAGAATGTACGTCCGTTTCTATAGGCTTGTCACAACATGTGTGATTAATAGCAGTCTATGTAGTGGTGTTTCAAGGGCATTTGCCTACTTTACTTTAAGTCTGTTTTATATTGTAAAATAATTAAACAGGTGTTACACCAAAAATATTCTATAATGCCCGTTAAGATCAGCAACCCACTGTCCAGTCTTCATGTTCCTACGACTTTAATATTCATGTGTTGTTGACTTTCATTAGGCCTAACACGTAACAGCTTCGACACACCCACCGTGGACTGTTCCACCACTGACGACATTTGAAGTAGCTACCATCAATGCTTAATCTACAACGAGATACTGTTCCAATTCCCGGAAAACCTCACCAGTGAAGACACTAGCCAGCACATTATGCACGCTATTACAATGGATGACAATATGTGCAGGTATATATTATTTAAAACATTTTTTTTTAGTAATCCCATACTGTCTCCTCGTGATCCTGTTGTAATAAGTGACTATGTTCCATACAAACAGAGAATGTCAGGTATTAAAAGAACTGGATATTGCAAATGTGCAATATATATAATGGAAGTCTCAAGAAGTATCGATGTTTTGTGACAATACATGGTATTGCAAGGTTGTCTCTCTGGCATTTTGAGACAGTTTCATCATTATCTACTACACCTTCATGATATTGCTTCAGTCACCACAGTCACTGTACCATGAATGTGGGGCATTGATAGCCAGCTGGTAAATGAAGCGAATTTCCAAATGTTTACAGAAATGTAGCTGAACATAGATAATAAAGTCTCCAAACCATGTTATTAATTTTTCCCAAAGAGACAAACATATATTATGTATCTTTTATATTATCTTTATATTATGTATCTTTTATCAACAAGTCCCATGCTTTCATTTTCAATATTAAGTATTTCTCTGCGAGTATATCTGATCAGAGGATGTGTCACGAATTAGGCAAGTGAACGACCATATTGTGACACAACCAGCTATGGCTATTTTTACACCAGTTGCAGGTGACTGATATCCTATGATTTTCGAAAAGTGCACATAAACTGAAACACGAACTGCAAAATATTTCAAACGAACTTATCTCAGAATGAGGGAAAGCGTGACTTAATAGTAAGTGCTACATACATAGAGTATATATTTGTTACAGTATGAACACATTGTGACACTGATGTAACGTTCCATGTCGTACAGTAATCTGACGGACTACCAGCAGGCAGTGAACTGTACTCTGCAGGTACAGAAGCAATGCAGTGATGACGCCATGAAGCCCACGGTGGCCGACTCTCAGACAGTGCAGGACGGCTTGGCCAAACTCTGTGGTCATATACGGGGTGAGTAGTTCAGCATGAGTTCGTTTTCTCCACGTGTATGTCCTTTTTAGGGGAGCAATGAGACGCAAAATATAAAAACAACAACCATACGACTAATTCCACGTGTGCTGAGGTTAAATCGGTGGCGATATATGAAATATGTATATGGGATGCATGTCCAAGTTAGTTTAAACGACCAGATTTAGAAGTAAAAACGAAAACAACTGACATTTATATTTTGTATTCTAATTAGTTTTATGGTTTTGCATGTAGGCTGACACAATGAGTCATTCTCATTGTTTTCTGTTATTAGATTTCGACACCAAGTGCGTGCAAAATGCACCCAAAGGAACTTGCCGCAGTAAACGCCCCGCTTTGGATCCGAAACATCTGTGCGCGTAAGTCGATTCTTTCTGTACAAGAAGGTCGGAATGTTTACGGCTGTTGCTTTTTGTCAAATGGATGGTGTATTGAGGTTGATAACAGGTAAATAAGTTACTAATATACACATGAGAAGCTGCATAGAATGTACAAGACACCACCTTTTTCACAATCAAGTAAAGGGCGGACTTGATATTCCGAAAAGATATCACAGGATGATTGAAGGAAACTTGATCATGCTCAAATGAGAAATTGTCCCACGGTGGCACCCGTCACAAACACGGGTATGCCAAGTGCCCACCCGGTGTCCTTTAGATATTCCAAACAGTTCTCATTTTTGAAAGCCTAAATGAGACAGTGTATATTCTAACCACGAGGGGCGGTGGGGAAGCCTGGTGGTTAAAGCGTTTGCTCGTCACACCGAAGACCCACGTTCGATTCCCCACATGGGTACAATGTGTGAAGCCCATTTCTGTGAAGCCCGTGATATTGCTGGATTATTGCTAAAAGCGGCGTAAAACTAAACTCACTCGCTTACTATAACCACGAGGAAACAATATTTGAGCCTTTTGGAAATGTGTGTGCAGAGGAGATAGACCACCTCCAGCGAAACGTGTTCTGACGGTGGAGCAGGATGTGCGTCTTCTTATCTGAACATCTGGTGTCATCTGTGATTCCATATAATCGTTTCAAATCAGTTTTACTTTTGCCTTGTGAGCTGTGGAGTATGTCTGTACTCAGGACAGACTTGGTTATTGTCTGAAGATAGATTCCCCAAACATTTAATAATTTCAAGAGTTTTCATGAAAATACTTTAATATATACTATTCCAAAAAAGAAACGCATGCCCAGAAATCTGTTGCGAAAATGTATTTTCAAACATGTACAACTCGTCTACAAATCGACTTAAAGAAATGAATTTTACATCAGTTTAGAAGAAGGTAATGTCCATACAACTAAACTGATAATTTTAGATAACGGAGACTCTAATCCCGATGTTGACCGCGTAGCATGGTCCCGACGTCGGGTCTCCTGGCTCTCAGTTCAATCTCTCTCAGCCTGTTCCGTACAGTTTGACCGACTATCCTTCGAAGTCCAGGCACTCTGGCTGCTGTGCTCTCACACGTGGCCGTACGATCGAGCAAATGTAGTACCCGGATGTACCGATCTTGGGCTGCAGTGGTGACTCGAGGTCTGCCTGTACGGGCACAGTCATTTGTTATACCTGTTTGGTTGTAACGAGCTGCAAGCAGTGATAGCGTACTCAGACTAACATTCAGACACCTGGCAACAGAAAATTGGTAATCTCCAGAGTGCATTCTTTCAATGGCGATGTTCCGTGTCGCAGCGTCAAGATTTGGCTTACTGATCTGACCTTGATACTCCTTCAAAACGGATGCCGATTTCCGAAAGTAATCTGGATTTTTATAGCCAAACATTGCAGGCTCTTTGCTGCTCAATTTCAACTGGAAGTTGATTTCTGTTGCGTTCTGGCGATGCCTTTTTAATTCTTGTAAGAAATCTCATCTAAATCAACATTTTCTGGTAAAGTTGACTTTTCATTTGTGCAGTTGTGTAAAATCATGTTATCAACAAATAGGTAATTAATAGATCTTGAAAAATACAAAACGCTTATTTTCAGCGCCGCTAGTGCCACCCAGAACTGTCTGGTGTCAGCGGTGAGCAGCTGCAGCAAGACGACCGTCAGCATGTTCAAGGATGTCCTACTTAGCCAATCCCCGTCTATGTGTCTAAAACAGGCCACTGGGTCACCATTGATTGGCTAAATCTACATCGTCACACAATCGCGATTGTATTGCTGTTGATAGACAATATATAAATTCAAGTAAACACATGAAATGTCTGTCAGATTTTTATTTCATTCTTTCCTGGTTTGTATTTTGAAAAGTTACTCTATGTTTATCTGACAGTGTATATAGAAGTATGATATTTTCCAACAGAAGTGAGCCTACATGTGTGAATGCCTGTTGCGACTCTTTCGAACCTCTTGAAGCAAAGTTTCAGTAATTGTAATACATTACACACCAAATTTAGAGCATTTGTTTCAAATGACACAAATGATGGAACATCACAACGTTTTGATCCGGACCTCATTCACCTGTAAGTATCGTTTTTCAAAAAACAACTCTTAACAACGTCAACACCGTGGAAATATAGTATTTACTTGTGATGTATAGCTAAAATAGATAGAATTATCATGAAACGGCTCTCCCTGTTCTGTTACACCCATTAAAGATTTTATGGACACTTCAGTCAGTTTATCAGCTATAGAGTTACCTCCCCAGTAGAACTCATCCCAGTGGAGATAGATTTGTGAGCCCTCACCAACAAGATGTCGTCTGCTACCCAGCAGCTCTATTGAGGAACCAATTAACTAAAGTCAGACAATTATGCAGTCCCCACAGTGTAAGTTTTGTTTCTTTTATCTGAGTAAGGCTTTTTGTCACTTTCAGCATAACTTTTAGTCAGGAAATGAGCCTTAAATGAACTTTTAAGTGTTTTGAACTGTTGCTATGTTTTGGCTCCATTGGCAGAGGTCACAGAATTTTACTTCACTGAAAATATGATTGAATTCTCTCTTTATTGATTATTGATGTAGGAATCATTTCCATGAGTTAAATGCATTCTTTGTCTCATGTTAGAATGTATAACGTAAGAATTATAAATAAGCTAAAAGATTTTGTACAGATTAATTTCAATGACCTTTTGAACTGACAGAACTATTGTAGAACTAATTCGATCTTTTTATGTCCGTTTCAGTCTTTACACCATATACTATCAAGTACTACCACATGAATATGTCAACTAAAAATCATCACTCATCTGTAACGCTCTTATGCAACAACAAGAATCATTAACAGCTTGATAGTTGGTTAGCTGGCTGTATCATTACTGGTCACAGTACAGTGAAAAGAACTCGTATTACAACTGTATAGAGAAAGAATCATGGCTTCTAAGAAAGAAATCGAAGTTACTTCTTCAATAATATTCTCTGATGCATGCTCCCAAACATCTAAACAATCAAGTAGAAGTTCAAGAAGTAGTTGCCACAGTAAAGCAGTCAGCGAGGAATTAGCTGTGAAATTAGCTGAAAAGCGTGCACAACTGGAAGCAGTCAAGACTGCCCTTGATTATGTACACAAAATATCAGAACTGTCTAGAAAGCAGGCCATGTTAGAGACTGAAAGGAAGATATTAGAAATTCAGAAAATGTCTGCTGTATTAGAAGCAGAAATGAAAGTATTGGAAGAAGTAAAAGAAGAATATGATGTTGTTGAAAATCCAGTTGATTTAGAAATTCCAATTCAGAATTCTAAAGACAGAACACAGAACTATGTCACTCATTTGAATACTGACGACAGCAAAGATCCAGGATGCTCAGATTTACCTCCTCCTCCTCGGATGCAGAAACCAGAGACCATTAGTGACAGACATGCAGGTGCAACTCTTAACCCTAATGCAACTCCATATATACCTCCAAATGATGTCTCAAACATGTACTTGAGGAAGGAACTACTTCTGCAGAGACTTCCCAAGTTTGATGACACCCCAGAATCATATGAAATTTGGAAGCCAACCTTTCAAGAAGTGATAGATGAAGTGCAGCTCACCAAAGGGGAAGAACTAGATCTACTTCTCAAGTGGCTTGGACCCATATCCCTCCGCGATGCCATGAACATAAGAAGATACCCTACCGTATGTCTCCGTCTTACCTGGGAACGCTTAGATGAACGGTTTGGGAGTCCATAAACATATTCTTTCATCTCTGGAGAAGAGATTTGAATCTTTTCCAGCAATCAATTCTCAGGACTACAGGAAGCTATATGATCTTTACGATCCATTAGCAGAAGTAGAGTGTACAAAAATGGAAGGAACATTTGCCACTTACCTTGCCTATTTTGACTCACCCAAGGGACATAATCCTCTCGTTGACAAGCTTCCAAGTGGACTCAACGAAAAGTGAGAGAACAGAGGATTCAGGTAGAAAGGCCTATATACAGTTGCATTTCCACCCTTCTCCGAATTTGTTAATTTCATTCGCGACATAAGCAGACAGACGAATGACCCAAGCTTTTCACAGCTCAAGATTAGTGAACACACTCCAGCTGTACCTCAAAAGAAATATCATCAGCTGCATGTCAAGAAAACTGAAGTGTCAGAAAAATGCCCTCTTCACAACACTGAACATTCCCTAAATGAGTGTGCTTCATTCAAGCAGAGGCCGGTCCAAGAGAGAATAGACTTAATGAAGTCAAAGGGACTTTGTTTTAATTGTTGTGGATTTGGACATGTGGCATATTATTGTACTGAACCTCAAGCACAGTGTGAAGTTTGCGGCGGAAAGCATGCTACAGCACTACACATGCGACGTGAAGACTGGACACAGGAAAAAGCTAAGAAACCTGACAGACAAGAGAAGAAGATCCAGAAACTGAAAGGAACTTCAAAGATATTATCTACATGCACAGAAGTTTGTGGTAATGACACTTTCCATGGAAAATCATGTGGAAAAACAATCCTTGTTGAAGTTCATCCGAGGAATGATCCGCAGAATTCCATTAGATTGTACGCAATACTGGATGATCAAAACAACTCATGCCTGGCAAAATCAAAATTCTCATGAACATTTACACTAAGGAAATTCCCTACTCCTTATCAACTTGTTCAGGAACGACAAAAACATCTGGACGACGAGCAGCAAATTTTCAAGTGAGATCCCTCTCTGACGACTGTACTCTGGATTTGCCTACATTGATCGAATGCAACGACATTCCCAATTTCAGAGAAGAAATTGCTACTCCTGCACTAGCCAGAAGCCACGACCATCTTACCGACATTGCTGATTGCCTGCCACCCCTTGATGACTCAGCAGACATTCTCCTGCTTATTGGAAGAAACATGACTGAAGCCCTCACTGTTAAGGATCAGCGGGTCGGTTTGAAACACTCACCATATGCCCATAGACTCCCATTAGGTTGGGTTGTGATAGGAGAGACCTGTCTCGGAAAACAACACATAACAGATGCTGTTAATGTAAACAAGACATACACAAGCTATGGACGACCAACACTGCTGAAACCATGTGTCAATAGTTTCATGATTAAACCCCTCCTTGAGAGACAGAGTAAGAATACTGATGTTTTTGAGACAACTGAAACTAATGACAGACCTCGTCTTTCAACTGAAGACCGTCATTTTCTCGAAATTTTAGATGAGGACATGTACCAGGGTGAGAATGGGACCTGGACTGCACCTTTACCAATGCGCAACCCACGACCCCGTCTACCAAACAACAAGTTACAAGCAAAACAAAGGGCTCAAGCACTACATAAAAGCCTGAACAAAGATGAAAATACGAAGAAACAAATGGCGGAGTTCACGACAAGCATCTTGAAGGCAGGGCACGCTGAAACTGCACCTCCGGTTGAGAATGATAAAGAAGTATGGTATTTACCTCTGTTTGGTGTTCGTCATCCATGCAAACCCGATCAAATTAGAGGTGTATTTGACGCATCAGCTGCATATGAAGGCATCTCCCTCAACAGTATCTTGCTACAGGGACCAGACTTGATGAACAGACTCCTCCACGTTTTACTGAGCTTCAGGAAAGAACCCGTAGCAATAATGGGTGATATTGAGAAGATGTTCTATTGCTTCCAAGTGCATACAGAGTATAGAGACTTCCTACGTTTCTTCTGGTACAGAGACAACAATCTTTCTGAAGACCTGATAGAATATCGAATGACAGTGCACATCTTTGGAAATAAATCCTCACCTGCCATCGCCACAAGTGGTCTTAGAAGAATTGCTGGATGTGCTGCTGAGAAATTCGGTTCTGATGTTGAAGATTTCGTCAACAAGAACTTTTATGTAGATGATGGTTTGACCTCTCTGCCCACAGACGACGAAGCAATAAATCTATTGCAACGGACTCAAGATGCCCTCAAGACTTATGGAAACATGAGATTTCATAAGATTGCCTCCAACAGTGTGAAGGTAATGGAAGCATTTCCATCTGAAGATAGAAACAAGGATCTGTCAAACCATGCAGATTGGGACGACCCCATTCCAGAGGAACATGAAACAGAATGGAAGATTTTGAAATCATCGTTGAAGCAATTAGAGACCGTGTGTGTACCTCGAAGCTTCGTTCCTTCATCCTTTAGCCATGCAGCTGACAAAAAACTACTTTTCTACTGCGACGCATCTGAAAAGGCCATAGCAGCAGTGGTATACCTGAAAGTACTCACCCCAGAAGAAAGTGAATAAATAGGTTTCGTGATGGGAAAAGTGAAGATAGCCACGTCTCATGGTCACACCATTCCACGCTTAGAACTGTGTGCTGCTGTTATGGCTGTGGACTTGGCTGAGATGGTATGGGACAGCCTGAACATTGATTCGTCAGATTGCAGATTCTATTCAGACAGCAAGATAGTCCTGGGCTACATCCGAAACACAACAAAGAAATTCAAGGTATATGTCTCAAATAGAGTAGCAAGAATACTCAAGTTCTCCACATCAGATCAGTGGAATTATGTTCTCACAAGTAAGAATCCAGCTGACGATGGAACGAGAGTGCTAGATGCTGCCAAGCTAGAAGAAAGCAAGTGGTTAAACGGACCACGAAACGCATCAGAAGTAAACGAGGACAAAGAGATGGAAACAACGGGTCAAGAAACTGATGACACAGAAGTGGTGTCTGAAGCCACCCTCTTTGTAGAACAAAACATTGGAATAGGAACGGATAGATTTTCAAAGTTCTCATCCTGGAAGAACCTGATCGCCGGAATAGCATGGCTAAAAACTCTTGCAAGAATGTCTAAGGCTCAAAGAAAAGAAAGAGATGGGGTCTCAACCTTCACTGATAGTGAAAATTTTGTAATAAGGGAAGTTCAGGGATAATATTTCCTCGAAGAGATCCAGTGTTTGAAGAACAAACAATCAATGCCAAAAGACCGTCCGTTATTTTCACTGAACCTAATCCTGGACAGTAACAAGCTTCTAAGAATAGGTGGCCGTTTGAACAAGACTTCTCTTGATGTACAACACAAGAATCCGCTTATATTGCCGAAGAAATCACATGTATCCAAACTCATAACCATGCATTTTCATGAGAAGATCCACTGAGGGAGCAGTACGCTCCAATGGTTATTGGATCATAGGCGGTAAGACACTCATTTCATCTCTCATACACCAGTGTGTAACATGTCGCAAGCTGAGAGGTAGAATGGAGCCCCCGAAGATGGCAGACCTTCCATGTGATAGAGTCGAAGAAAGCCCACCCTTCACGTATGTCTGCCTAGATACCTTTGGCCCATGGAATATCGTGTCGCGCGGAACAAGAGGAGGATATGCAAATTCCAAGAGGTCGGCAATCCTGTTCACTTGCTTGGTCACTAGAGTAATACACATCGAGTTAGTAGATGAACTGAGCACTTCAGCATTTATCAATGCTTTGAGAAGATTCATCTCCATACGAGGTGACGTCAAACTATTCCGTTCGGATCGTGGAACAAACTTTGTCGGTTCCACAAGTGAATTAAAGATCAACACCGTAAATATTGAAGGTGTGAAGATGAAGTCATACCTGAATGACAACCGCATAGAATGGCTCTTCAATCCTCCTCATGCTTCACACATGGGTGGTGCTTGGGAGCGAATGATTGGTGTCTGCAGGAAAATCCTTGACTCCGTGATGACAGGAATCGGAACTACAAGTTTGACACATGATGTCCTCGCAACCCTGATGGCAGAAGTTTGTGTGATAGTGAATAATCGTCCAATAGTGCCTGTGTCATCTGACCCAGAAAACCCACGTGTTCTATCTCCAGCCATGTTGTTGACCCAGAAATCCCGACCTATGACAGATGTTAATGGAAATATTCATTATGGTGATTTAAAGGTTCTATATAAAAGTCAGTGGAAGCGTGTGCAGCAACTTGCTGATATGTTCTGGGCTCGCTGGAGAACAGAATACCTGCACACTCTCCAGCCCAGGAGAAAGTGGCAGAATGACGTACCCTGTTTACAAACTGGAGATCCGGTGCTATTAAAGGACAAAAATATGACACGGAACAGTTGGCCTATGGGTATCATTGATGAAATCAAGCCCAGTGATGACGGACGTGTTCGAGTAGTTGTTGTGAAAACTGCTAAAAATGGAAAATCTTCGACATATATCCGTCCAGTCAATGACCTGATTCCAATTCTCAGGAATGTGAACAGTATCTGAACTGTAAATAGCATTTAATAGCATTATGAGATTTTGAACTTTGATAATATGACTTTATTATCCAAGTGAGATGGTGTTTGTGTAACGCTTTTGGAGCCAGAGAGTGTCTTATTCATCTTACGCTCTTGATAGAAATTGAATTTGAAGTTAACTTTTCCAAATTGTTTTAAAGTTTGAATTTATATATCATATCATTAGATTTTATGCTAAACATGTAATATGTTGCAGAATTAGTATATTTAGATTTTATAATATTTTAAGAATATCATCCCGGGGGAGTGTTCTGTTACACTCATTAAAGATTTTATGGATACTTCAGTCAATTTATCAGCTATAGAGTAACCTCCCCCAGTAGAACTCTTCCCAGTGGAGATAGATTTGTGAGCCCTCACCAACAAGATGTCGTCTGCTACCCAGCAGCTCTATTTAGGAACCAATTAACTAAAGTCAGACAATTATGCAGTCCCCACAGTGTTAGTTTTGTTTCTTTTATCTGAGTAAGGCTTTTTGTCACTTTCAGCATAACTTTTAGTCAGGAAATGAGCCTTAAATGAACTTTTAAGTGTTTTGAACTTTTGCTATGTTTTGGCTCCATTGGCAGAGGTCACAGAATTTTACTTCACTGAAAATATGATTGAATTCTCTCTTTATTGATTATTGATGTAGGAATCATTTCCATGAGTTAAATGCATTCTTTGTCTCATGTTAGAATGTATAACGTAAGAATTATAAATAAGCTAAAAGATTTTGTACAGATTAATTTCAATGACCTTTTGAACTGACAGAACTATGGTAGAACTAATTCAATCTATTTATGTCCGTTTCAGTCTTTACACCATATACTATCAAGTACTACCACATGAATATGTCAACTAAAAATCATCACTCATCTGTAACGGTCTTATGCATCAACAAGAATCATTAAAATCTTGATAGTTGGTTAGCTGGCTGTATCATTTACAAGATTGACTAACTGGTCACAGTACACTCCCATTATCAGAAATTTGCGGGCCGCTGCAAATGATATTGGACCGCTCAACCTTAACGATGGGCCACTATCAGTTCTGTTGTCAAGTGACGTCATAGTGGGTGCGTGGGCTTACGGTTCATTCGACATTAATTGGCTTTCGACTGGCAGATATTCTGGGTCAAACAAGTCAAAGCAACCCGAATTCCGGCTTTAAAAAGCGGTAATATTGGCTTTCTTGTTGGTGCTAACCTTTACAATTGCACTATTAAGGCTGTTGATGGACCTAAACCGAACACTGACATAGTTTGACATGTTGCAGGCTATGGTCTTGTCAAAGGCCAAGGTCGAATATCGTCACTTTCTGTTGTGACGTCACTTGAATTGTTCGATGACGTTATTGCATTCGGGCAGTCAACCCCGTCAGAAGTTGATTTGGGTAAACTTACAGTCAAATTCTTTCATTGTTTCCTTTTTCTTTTCAACACAAATTCCATTTATTTTAGCAATAATAACGGTAATGCTATTTTTGAGGGCATTATCATTTGCAGAAGCCCTCGGGCTCAGCTCTTGATGTTAAATCTCCTACGGCTCGTTTGAACTTGGGTTCAAAATTGACGATATTTCTGACTCATTATGCACTTTTTTTGCCGGTGCCAACCTTAACAATTCTACCATAAATTACAACATGCAACAATGAAAACATCGACTGGAACTCTAACGTTCTTGAGCCTTGGAAAAAATGGCGGCTGGTAGTGTGGGCAAAGGTCAATGTCGAATGTCGTCATTCTCAATAGTGACGTCATCTGTTTTGTTCTATGACGTTTCCATAGGTGTGTCAGTGGCCTCCGTTGTTTGTTTTTAGCAGTAAATGCTTCAAAGCCGATATCATTGTTTGTTTTGATTTATTAAAAATTCTATCCATTTTAGCTATAATAACGGTAACATTATTTTTCAGAGCATTATCATTTGCAGAAGCCCGAGGTCTTTTCAACTGCCCTCCTTTGTCGAGCAGTTAATGAAAGACCTCGGGCTTCTGCAAATGATAATGCCCTGAAAAATAGCGTTACCCTTATACTAAATCATCTGGAAATGTGTAAGTTCGGACAAGTCCACCGGGTCGTAGGCGTCAAGCTAACGTTGATGTAATCAAGTTTACTTAGACTGAACCTCACTGTGGTGTTCGTACCTTAACAGGGGCGTAGCTACCATTATAAAATAAAGCCCGGGCTTACACATGACTGTTGCTAAAAGGTTGGGCAAGCCCTCAATACTATCTAAATATAAATAGTATATATATATTTAGCTTGGCCTTCCTGCATGTCCATATGACGGTATACTGTGTGACACGTATATACAATATCAACTTACTTACTGTTTCAAAGGTTTCAGCTTGCATTGTCAGACGCTTGTCACTTTTTTTCCTTTTTTACTACACACAGTGTGTAAAGATACATTCACATCACAACATGATATGATTGGAATATTATTTTATTTTATGAACCTAATGACACCTCGTGTCCCATATGCCTACTGGCCAGGTGGTATATATTTTAATCTGTCCTGTTTGTATGTCTATATGTATGTATGCGTGACACGCAAATACAATATTTACTTACCTACATACTTACATAAACCTTTGCAACCTATCGGGCTTACACGAAAAAACTGGCTGCTTACGCGCCTGCTTAATGTTCAGAAGATGGGACACTGTGGATTTAAGGAAAAACGTCTAGCTCAGCTCTCTTTGTTGCTTCTATTGCCGGTCTGTGTGATTAGGAAAACAGGAATATCTGAGACTGTTGGAATCGCGAAAGGACATCTCCGAGCAGACACTTTCTGACAAGGTTTTCACAGCCAAACAAACTTGTCTCGATCCTGAGTTGGACCACTTTGTGTTGTGTTCTTCCTGGTGAAAAGCGATGTTTTTATACGTTTGTATAAAACAACATATAACTATCAGAGATCATGCGTTACCGTGATTAGGTAATTTGTCTCATTTTCTTACTTACTTTTCCAATACCCAGTGATAACATGCGCATCCATGAAACATGAAACAAGTTATCAATGAAACGCTGTTCAATACCACTTAAGCTCCCGACAGGACTCCTGAGGGCAGTTGGTCGTATTGGGGTTTGACTGAAACACAACACTTACTTGATTGCAATTATACAAAGGACGATAAGGAAAGCTGCATACAGTTGTGATTGGCTATTAATTTGATTAGCCCGGATCAAGTCAGACTGAATACTGGGCTTCAACGTGTGTGCTTAAAATACTTCGCTTAGAGACTCTGTAAAGTGATATTTAGGTAGATATAATCCTTTTGCTATGCTTAGATATAAACACATTACAAGATACATCTATGATTTTTATGTTGTCTTTGACCGAACAGAGACTAAGCTCGTGCTCGATGTTGGGAACGTAAGCCGAAAAGGGCTTTACTTTAACGGACCAGTTAACTTCACGTGATGTATGTATGTATGTGTGTGTGTGTGTGCGTGTGTGCGTGTGTGCGTGTGTGTGTGTGTGTGCGTGCGTGCGTGCGTGCGTGCGTGTGTGTGTGTGTGTGTGTGTGTGAGTGAGACAAACACTTGTGTCTTGAGATTTGATTTGAATGCAGGGAGAGTGTAAGTGCATGTGACTACCATCTGGCTCGAGACCGAAACAGTCTGAATATTTGAAGTGAATGTTAAACAAAGGTCAGATTGAGTAAAAATAAACACTTTATTAAATTTTAATTTGTTTTCGTATGTTAATTGTGAAAAAGCATTCAAATAAAGGATTACTGTCCATTTATTATTAAAAGGAACAGCCAACTTCTTGCTTTCAATGTGATGTCATAAATAACATAAGACGTACTGTATTTTTGATAATTATTTACTTTTATTTTGCCTCATTCCAGAAATGAGTAACATTGATCAGGCATAGCTTACCGACTGAAGATGGTCTGTTATTCTTCATATCTGTACCGATATCTGATATGTGTGTGCGTGTGTGCGTGTGTGCGTGTGTATGCATGCATGATGGGGGATGCACCCGACACAAATCCATTCAACAACATACAGCACGGGTCAAAAAACGTAATCTGGGAATTGCCATCCGCGTGTTCTATAAAGAATATTTTCAAGAATATTTCGCAACACCGTTATCTTTTTTTGTTTCGTGTGATCAGCCAGATGTTACAACCTACACAGTTACCAATGTGGGAGTGTGTCAAGTCCAGTATATAATTGAACACTTTAAGCATGCAGAGGACGTGTATGTCAAGAAACGGATGGAATCATGGGGCTCTTGTACCTGTTCGCGTTGTTTTCTTTGGTTTCAGGTAAGTAACACTCATCTAACATGGGTTCATCAGTTCTCCCGAATTTTAACTATTGTTAATATTCCCAACCTACTGGGTATTAGGGGAAATGGAATTTGTGGGCGAGCTGGGATTTTGATTCCGTATGAATGAATGATCCATGAAACGCGGAACTGTTCATATTTGGAAGCATTTGTAAAATAAAATACATTTCCCAGTTGGCGTTACTGGAAACTTGAACCCAAATAAGCATTATGTTTGCAATAACCACTCACTCACCCAACCACTCACGCAAATCTGTCGAACTAATATATCTATTTCATTCTATGGGATCTAATTTTTAATGTAAGCCTACTTTTCGGTGATAAACGAAGACAAATTATTATTACTGGACCAACTGTGCTAAATATTTTTATGAAGAGCCAGCTTCATCATTATACATACCAGTACATCAATACATACGTGTTTAGTGATCTTATTGAATTCCAGGTAATGACGGGACGTTGGATGTGACCGCTCTCTCACAGCAAGTCAACTGCACTGATGCACAGTCTATGCTCGTAGCCTCACAGAAGTGCCTTGATACGTACAATGTCCCCTTCAAAATGCCTTCCGTTGACGAACTTGCCAACTCGTCAAATCCTTCGTTTATATCACATCTAATAACCCCGGCATATTTAGCTGATATGTGTAGGTTAGTATGGACCTGACCTACATTACTTCTTATAATTATCACAACAATATATTCTTATCCTACCATTGACCGTTACGGTGGCAAGAGTTTGATAGCAATAAAGAAGATAAAACGATAAATGTAATGTTTGAAATACTACTAATGGTAACGATGACTTGAGTGCAGTGAGGGCTTCGGAATCGATGACATTCCACTTCTATCTGTATCACAAGGCTGACTTCTTACTGACTGATCCATGCATATCACCGCACCCCAAACTGTGTAGATACCTTCTCATGATATCAGTCAGTGAACAGTAGGTCCCAGACTCAATTATATTAAGACCCCGTGATACAGCTGGACTTGTTCCAAATCTCACCAAAATGTAATCTCAGTTCTCTCTGGCGCTTGGCAACAATCTGAGGACATTCCGGAAGTTCTATTTCTTACGTTTTAGATTTTCGACTCGAGAACTGGCATGGAAATCAGTTTGGAACTAATGCTGTTTTACTCCAAAAGGTGTTTTTTGATTGGCTAATGTCGACTTCTAGTTAGTCCTGTCTTTTGTCAATCACTGTTGACGAAAGGTCGCTCTGACCCTAAATGTGATGACCTGAGATCATTGTTGAGCGGTAGAAAGAAGTGAGATGTGATATTAAATTTGTAATATTGCTTTGTGTTAAAAAGTAGTATTGGGAAGTTATCCTCTTCGACCAAATGCATGGTTGTGTTGGGCCTATGATTCTGGAATTTTGCACGAATTCTCTTATCATATAGAGTATTTCATAGCGGTGTGGCAAAACAGTAAATGTATGATACTTGTGCATTGTGTTCATATGATCAATTGTACAGCATTGTCATTTAAAAAACCTTGTTCCAGGAATCTTGACACTTACCAGAAAGCGCAAGTGTGTGTGCAAAACATACTCTCTAAATGTACCCAGGCCGCGGTGCTTGATTCACAGATGATTAAGAAGATACAAGAATATGCCTGTGCCAACTTGGACAGTGAGTACAGAGTATATAATTATGTACCACTTCGAGAGATTTAATTCAAATATTTTTTTGCGCATGCTTAATCGGGACCCGCCACCAAAAATATTCACTTTCATCTCCAACTGGAACAGAATATAAATATTTACACGAGGGAACATCACAGGTGTCACAAAGCATCAAAGAAGTAGGACAATCAAGTAGGCAAGTCTCATAGTCCATGTACCAGATGGAGTATGTAAAAATACTGTAAATCAAACTCCTTAGTGAATTATTTATGGAAAATATGGATTACGTTTTTCGTAATTTGAACATTCAAAATTAGAAATTGTACTCACCTATTAGTAGCATCAAGAACAAAGAAACTCATAAATGTAGCATAACTAGAGATATGTCGATGTTGTATACTGTAAATATACGCATATATCTCAGAAAATATATATCTCTTTTATAGAAGCCACGGAACCCATATAGGATACGTTTCAATGCCCTTTCCATAATCTTTCGCGAACACCTGGTGTCATCACTGATTTTCAATGATCCATACATTCAGTTTTCACAGCTGTTGTTCCCTTTACACCAAACGGCATGTGTTGATGTTCTGTATTTAACTAAACATTACGTCTTTGGTCCTGAAGAATTCAACATAACCTGCATGTTTGAAATGACGACCAAAATAGTGAATTGCAGCTCTACCGTCAGCTACTTGACAACCAGCGATTATATTAACCTCAGCTTTACAGAGTTTGAACACAAGACAACTTGTATGTGAGTATTCGTGTTATAAAATCACCTTCCTTTCAATTATACACCTCGTGTGCGTGCGTATATGTGTATCATGACGACCGAAGTCTTTATGGAAATTCACAAAAAGGGTTCGGTGTTGAAAAGCATTACTGCAATTCACATTGCCATAGACCTGACTAAATGATTGTTTGGTTGTTTGCATCCGTTCCCCCTTAACAGTGTTATATGTTGTTTAGAATGGCATATCCATGAACCGGTTCTAAAGATATTAACCTTTCACAAATATTCCTGGCATAAGGAATACGACCATCATATTCAGTAATGTCAAAAAACTTAATTTGTTATGACTTTTGCTTTTTTTCGGCCATCATCTACATGTAACCGAGTTTAAATACCTGAACATCAAATTGTAATCTTAATGTGAATAAAATGTTGATTTCATATTTCATATTGCCTCTATTTGTGTATTATGTCAGGTCAGAAAAGTTGTCACCAGTCTGTGCCCACAAGTACATGCCAGCCTGTAGCGAGGCCACGCGCCATATCTACGAAATGGCCAATCCAAACAACACAGAATGTACGTCAGTTTCTATTAGCTTGTCGCAAACATATTCGTTGGCTTGTGGCAAACATATTCGTACACATCTGATTTATAACAGCCATACAAAGGGCAGGTATTGGTGTTTCAAGGGCATTTCCCTACTCTACTTTACCACTGTTTATATTGTAAAATTGGTAAGCAGGTGAATGCAGTAACAGGTACAGAATGTCACCACCTTCAGCCACAACCTGACACTACAGTGCATGTCATACTCAGAGATGTTCTATTGACAGGACATTACAGGCACACATTTCCCATAACCTAAAATCAATATCTCTTCAGTTATGTTTGGTTGTAAAACATGTCATTTAGGGATTGGATTAGCTTTATTTCGTTATCTTTTTATACTAAACAATAACTTAAAAGATCCGTTAATACTTGGGTTAGAACTGATTTTCAGTAACCTATACCTGTCACAAGAAGCGGTAATGAACGTAAATATATCCATAGGCATGCACCATTGTATTCCAAACTTCATGTTCCTACGACTTTAACATTCATGTGTTGACTTTCGTCAGGCCTAACACCCAACAGCTTCGACACACCCACCGTGGACTGTTCCACCACTGAAGACATTCGAAGTAGCTACCATCAATGCTTAATCTACAACAGGATACTGCTCAAATTCCCGGAAAACCTGACCAGTGAGGACACTAGCAAACACATTATGCACGCTATTACAATGGATGGCAACATGTGCAGGTATATACACTTTTAGTAATCCCTTATTATCTCCTGTAGTGACAAGTGACTGTGTTCCATATAAACAGAGAATTAAAAGAACTGGAAATTGCAAATGTGCAATCTAAGTAATGGACGTCATAAGAAGTCTCGATGTTTTGTGACAATACATGGTATTGCAATGTTGTCTCTCTGGCATCTTTAGACAGTTTCATCATTATCTACTACACCTTCATGATATTTCTTCAGTCACCACAGTCACTGTACCATGAATGTGGGGCATTGTTAGCCAGCTGGTAAATGAAGCTAATTTCCAAATGTGTACAGAAATGTAGCGGAACATAGATAATGAAGTCCCCAAAACCTTGTTATTGATTTTACCCAAAGAGACAAACATATATAATATTATATATCTTTTATCGACCAGTCACATGCTTTTATTTTCAATATTCAATATGTCTCTGTGTGTATAACTGATGCAAGAATTCCAACAATTTCAAAGGCTGTGTCACAAAATAACAAAGTATACGACCTTGTTATGACACAACCAGCTGTGGGTATGTTTACACTAGCTGCATGTGACTGATTGTCGAAAAGTGCTCATAGAATGAAACATTACCTACAATGAAAATTATGTTAAAAGAGCTCCTCTCAAAATGAGGGAAAGCGTGACTTAATAGCCAGTGCTACATACATAGAATATACATTTGTCACAATATGAACACATTGTAGCACAGATGTAACGTTTTATGTCGTACAGTAATCTGAAGGACTACCAGCAGGCAGTCAACTGTACTCTGCAGGTACAGAGGCAATGCAGTGATGACGCGATGAAGCCCACAGTAGCCGACTCCCAGACAGTGCAGGACGGCTTGGCCAAACTCTGTGGTCATATCGGGGGTGAGAAGTTCAGCATGAGTTCGTTGTCTACACGTGTATGTCTTTTTTGAGGAAGTACTGAGACGCAGGCGAGATATGATATATGTATATGGGGTGCATGTCGTTGGTAGTTTAAACGATCAGAATTAGACCTAAAAAGGAATACTACTAACGTCTATATTATGTATTCTAAGGCATTTTAGGCTTCTGCTTTTAGACTGATACAATGAATTATTCATAGTATATTCTCTTATTAGATTTCGACACCAAATGCGTTCAAAATGCACCCAAAGCAAAAACATGTGGCAGTAGGCGCCCCGCTCTGGATTCGAAACATCTGTGCACGTAAGTCGATTCTTTGTGTTCCAAGACGGTCGAGGTATTTACGGCTGTTGCTTTTTGTCAAATGGATGGTGTATTGAGGTTGATAACAGGTAAATCAGTTACATACACATGAGAAGCTGTATAGAATGTACTAGACACCACCTTTTTCACAATCAATTAAAGAGGTGACTTGATATTCCGAAAGGATATCACAGGATGATAGAAGGAAAGTTGATCAGGCTCAAATCAGAAAAAAGTCCCACTGTGGCACACCTCACAAACGCGTGCAAAGGCATGTAAAGTGTCCGCCTGTTGTTTTAAATATATCCCTAACATATCTCATTTTTGAAAGCTTTACTGAGGCCGCGAATATTCTAACCACGTCGAAACAATATATGAGGCTTTGGGAAATGTTCGCGCAGAGGAGATAGACCGCTCCTGTGAAACGTGTTCTGGCATTGGCGCAAGATGTGCGTCTTCAACCCCGAACATCTGCTGTCATCTCTGATTCTATATAATCATTTCAAATCAGTTTTACTTTTGCCTTATACGCCGTGGAATATGTCAGTACTCAAGACAGACTGGTTATTGTCTGAAGAAGGATTCCCTAAGCATTTATTGATTTCAAGAGTTTTCATGAAAATGCTCTAATTTATTATTGTCACTCAGAATTGAATGTTGTAGTTCTAAAGTGTGTATGCTTGTTTTCAGCGCCGCTAGTGCCACCCAGAACTGTCTGGTGTCAGCCGTGAGCAGCTGCAGCAAGACGACCGTCAGCATGTTCAAGGACGTCCTAGTTAGCCAATCCCCGTCTATGTGTCTAAAACAAGCCACTGGGTCACCATTGATTGGCTAATCTACATCGTCACACAATCGTGATTGTATTGCTGTTGAGTGACAATAAATACATCCAAGTAAACACATGAAATGTATGTCAGGGTTGTGTTCCATTCTTTCCTGGTTTGTATAGGTATTTTAAAATGTTACTCTATGTTTATCTGACAGTGTATTTAGAAAGAGATAGAAGCGACAAAACCCTTTCCACATTCATAAGAAATTTCTGCCAAAAGCAGTGTCCATTGTACAGTTGTGACTATATCATGAGCAGATACTTGTTCCAGCAGTATTACAGCTGTATGATGTTGATTGTATGCAAATCGCGTCTGAGCTAGACAATCCAGTGATAGTCACCGTGGGATACGATGACAGAGCATGTGTGTATGCATCACTATGAAATAGTGATGATACCTGGTGTTCGCGAAAGGGAGAGCCTATCCTGCCCCACAGGGTGGCACCCGTCATATACATATGCTAAGTCCCGATATTTGTTCACCTGAAATATTTCGGGAACGTATAGGGAATGGTATCGGATAGGGGTGACTATTGGGGTCTAAGGAACTATTGCGGTCCCAATAGACTATTGCAAGTACTATTGCGATATCGATAGACTATTGCAAGTTACTATTGCGATATCGATAGACTATTGCATGTTACTATTGCGATGTCGATAGACTATTGCATGTTAATATTGCGATCCCGATAGACTATTGCAAGCTACTATTGCGATAACTATGGCGATAGTTCAGACAAAATTCAAATTTCAGATATATTGCCATTTTCTACCAACTTCTTTTACATTAAACTACTTAAACCATAAAATGTGTTCAGTAGTTTATTCCTTATAATGTTGAGGTCAGTACCTGTCAAGCTGTCATGATGACTTCTAGTGAACATAATTTAGTATTAAAACAATTCGACAACAAGCTAACGCTTTCACACAGGATTTGATACTATTTATTACAAAACTGTGGTTCGCAGACTCTTTGATCCCAACAATATTGTATGTAAAATACCATACAAATTAAACAATAAATACTGGCTCTGTGGGTCTGTCACATTTGTGACAAATGGTCACCTTTCAGTTTCAATAGAAAACAGTTACTGTGTGTAAAGGTTGAAAATAAAACAGTTCACAGGTAGATATTTTCTTAGTTTTAACAACATAAAGATATATCCAATGCACTGAACAGTCAACAGACACACCAGATTTAAAAAGGACAAAATCTTTTGTCACTATGAAAGTATCAAGTAATCTCACAAATACACCTGTCATCAGATAACTCGGTGACTCAAGTTGAAATATAGGTTAACATAATTGGCAAATGGCAATATTTCACAAGAACTCTCATTTTACTCAAATAGTGTGATGAAGGCATATGATAATTTTTCCAACTTTCCAATTCTTCTTTAGAAACAAGAGTCTGTCCACATGTGCAGATTTAATGATGTCTGTGGAAAAGACCCTCTCAGAGGGCACAGGGCAAGACTGAATCGGAGAATGTGTAACGTGGTTCCAAAACACTCAACATGTTTCTAAACCAATCATTTTGGACAACACTGGATGGTCGCAAATCTTTCATAATAAGTTCAAAAATGGCTGCCGAAATGTCTCTTGCTCCTTTTAAAGACGAAAGTAGAGTAGTGTTGTCATTTATCACTGTCAGGGTTGTTTGTCTCTTAGGCCTACCCTTGGTTAGGGCAAGCGCATCAAGACCGTGCCTCCGACGCACATGATCAGTCAAATTTGTTGTATTTCCACAATACTTCAATATCAGCTTACACTTCCAACATGCAACTTGCTTCTTGTCCTCTTTATCTGTTTTTACCCAAAGTGTTCCCATACAGCTGCAGCTGTATTGTTTACAATTTCAAATTTCGCAAAATCCCCGCTGTCCGCGTGAGCCGCCATTTTGGTAAGGTGTGTGTGTGTGTGTGTGTGTGTGTGTGTGTGTGTGTGTGTGTGTGTGTGTGTGTGTGTGTGTGTGTGTGTGTGTGTGTGTGTGTGTGTGTGTGTGTGTGTGTGTGTGTGTGTGTGTGTGTGTGTGTGTGTGTGCGTGAACTGTATCACTGCAAAATGCTGTCGCTTACAGCAAATAGAGATTAATCTGAATCGGGGATAGGACTGTAGGACAGAACATGTTTTCAAGTTACCGTTATTTATAAAACAAATTAAAGCGATAGTATCGATAGTTGAAGCAACTATCAGTGTATTGGATCGTCATTTCATACACCTATCGATAAAGTTCTATCTGGGGGCTCACAATGGCAATCAATCGATAGTTCGATGCATCGTTACATCCCCAGTATCGGACATCATTTTTTACGCTGATGCATGAAGCGAGCCTACATGTGTGGATGACAGGTGCGTCTCTTTCGATCCCTCGCCAAGTTTCAGTAATGGGAATGCATTACGCACCAAATTTAGAGCATTTGTTTCAAATGACACAAATGATAGAACATCACAACGTTTTGATCCGGACCTCATTCACCTGTAAATATCGTCTTTGGAAAAACAACTGCTACCAACGTCAACACCGTGGAAATATAGTGTTTACTTGTGACTAGACCATCTGGAAATGTGTAAGTTCGGAAAACTCAACAGGGACGATGGCGTCCAGCTAACGTTGATGTAATCGAGATTACTGAGGCTGAACCTCACTGTGGTGTTCGTACCTTAATGTTCAGAAGGTGGGACAATGTTGCGTATCCGTGAAACAAGTTATCGATGAAACTGTACGCTGTTCAATACCACTTAATCTTCCGACAGGCAGTTGGTAGTGTTAGGGTGTGTTGACTGAAACACTGATTGCAATTATACAAAGGGCAATGAGGCAAGTTGCATATAGTTACAATTGGCTATTAAACTAATTAGCCCGAGTCAAGTCAGACTTAATACTGGGCTTTACTTACAGCAATATGTGTGTTTAAAATACTCTGATTTATGAATCAGGCAAGGCTTACCGTCTTAAGATATGTGCGTGCGTGCTTGCGCGCGTGCGTGTGTGTATGTGTGATGGAAATATATTCAAAGATAAGTCAACATAGAGCCAGAATAGGTAACCTAGAAATATATATCCGCATGTATCATGAGAAATATTTTCAACACTATTTAGCTATACCGTTATCTGTTATGATTTTGTGTAATCAGCCAGATGTTACATTCTGCACAGATAACAATGTGGGAGTGCATCAAGCCCAGTATATAATTCAGCACTGTAATTACGCAGAGGAACGTGAATGTTTGCCAAGAAACGGTTGGAACGATGGGACTCTTGTATCTGTTTGCGTTGTTTTTTTTATTTCAGGTCAGTATTTCTACGTGCTGCCGTCCCTTATATATCCGTCTCTTGAAATTTAAAATTCATCTGACTTGGGTTCATCAACTATCCCGAATCTAACTTTTCCATATGCAACCTACCGAGTACTAGGGCTACTTCTACGGAAGTTTGTGGGCGAGTTTGAAAAAACATATTTCCCATCTCGGGTTATACTGCAAAAGTGGAATCCAAATAAACATTATGTTTGTATTGATGGTGTGTATTGCAAACATTAAGCCATAAACACTCACTCACTCACTCACTCACTCACTCACTCACTCACTCACTCACTCACTCACTCACTCACTCACTCACTCACTCACTCACTCACTCACTCACTCACTCACTCACTCACTCACTCACTCACTCACTCACTCACTCACTCACTCAGTTGATGATGTCTCCACGACTTCCGGTGCAATGAGAAACTGTGATTCCAATTTGCAAATCGCTCAAGAACTAATATACCTATTTAAATCTGTGAAAGTTGTTTTTTTTTAAAGTAAGCCTACTTTTCGGTTATAAACAAAGACAAATTAT